TCAGTCTGTACTATAGTTTTATGCATTATTATTTCTAAAGAAAGTTGTTAAAAAAGATAAGGTTTTAAAGTAGGTTAAAGGTGAAAAAATTTTTGCCAAAAAATCATAAAAGGATTTTATACGACATTTATTCCAGTTTTTTTTAACTAGAAACTTAAAGCTTCAAAATGTTTTTTTTAATCTTAATACGACCATTTTTAGATGAATTACAACCTTTCAAAAATCACGAAATTTTTTTGTTCCTTAAACTTAATTTAATTAAAGTAAAGTAATTAAAGTACCATTCCGACTAGAAGCTCGTACAAAATCGCCCCATAGCCCCACCAATCCGCGGCGGCTGTGACCCGTTCAAAGGTCAGCACTTCCGGTGCTGCCAACAGCAAACTTCCGGTTGCAAACTCATTGACGTTGCACATGTAAGTGAGCACCAAGTCGCCCCCATCGTCGATCAGAAGATTGCGCGATTGCAAATCGCTGAAAGTTGACATGGCGAGCCGTGTACGAGTTTTTTACTACTTACTGGCACACAACTCCCACGGCGTGGAGTTTCTCCAAGGCGAGGAGGAGTTGCGCCGCCCACTTGACGACCCACTCGGGGGGAATGAGGAGATTTTGCGCGAGATCCAAGTCGAAACTCGACGACATTTCGCTGAATTTCCGTCGATTGACCGGCAATAAATCGGGGACAGGTTCGTCCATTAAGTTTCTATCAACGCTTTCGACTTTCACGTAATCGTCGTCGTCGCATTTTTTGCCTTTGTTGTTCGCGTAATCGTTGATTAGATCGCTGTAGCTGTGCTCCGATTCCGGATCGGAGAGATCCATATCGTGCACTTGGCGCAGGATTTGGGCCCCATTCGGGGGGCGAAAAGCGTCGCAAGGGTCCTCGGAGCGACACTTCACGTACTCCCACAGTGTCTTACCGCTGGAAAAGCACATTCAACACCGAAAAATACCAAAACAACGACAAACCTGCAATATTCTAACACTAAAAACAAGGCGTTTTCGCAGTTGTAATAATTGTACAATTTAACCATGTAAGGCACATTCTCGGGCAAAATCAAGTTCTCATTGAGAAATTTCATAGTCTTGTGTATCACCTACAAGAAGGGGTTAAACCCGAAAAACAATCCAATTTTTTTTACTTTAATATAAAAAAGTTGTTGGAGCTCGGAATGCAAAACCAACATTCCTGAGGCTATAACACGGACCACTTTGTATTTGTATAACTCTGAGATGGGTCGTTGCACGTATTGATCGGGATTTTGACCGTTTTCCTCCGATTCGGTCTAGAAAACAAATTTCAATTTTAAAATTCCCGCCACTACAGCGCCTTCTAACTTACGATTTGTTTCAAACTCTGTACTTCAGGGGCCAGATGCATGTTGTATATTTTTTCAGCCCTCAGTAAATATTTATCAGTTTTGTATCTCACTACTTGTCTCCTGTCGTAATTTTTATCGTCTAAAAGATGGTTTTCCTCGATTATTAACAAATAATCAAAAAGTCAATCAAGTAGGACGTATGTCGCATACCAGTCCGTATATTAACAAAATATCAAAAAATTATTTATTAAAAATTAAAATACTGTCTAAACACGTTGGATTTTTCTACAAAACCTCTCAAAACATTCTTAAATGAGTTAATTTTAGTGTTTGCCCCGAATTTAATACGAAAATCATTTTGACATTTCTCATTTGTCAAATTTCTACGCTAGCTTGATAGGACTTTTTGATTTTATTGTACCGAGTGACTATAAATGTTTGTGACAAAAAATCTATTGGCGACACTGAATTGTTAGTAATTTATCTGATTTATCTAATGACAATTGCCTATAAAAGACTGACGTTTGAATTTTCAAATCAAGATTGATAAAGTTAAGATCGCCAAATTCAGGATCAAAATCACGGTGAAAAATAAATTAAAAAAAAAATTTAAATACGGAGAGACTTCACCGTATTATTATTATTAATTTTTCAAAAAAACAATGGACAAAACAAACACAAAAAGCGAAATTGAGAGTCGTCCAGTATACACAAAATTACAGGCAGGGTTAAATTTCACCAGATCTGGTGATTTTCATGATAGTCTGGTGATTTCGTGAAAACTTAAATTTGTAAAAATTCTGGTGATGAAAATCTGGTGAGTTTTTGGAAATAAAAAACTCTGCAGCCACAAAAAAATATTAACACACAAAATTTTCAATTATTGATAAGAAAACTTAGGTCAAAAGCAAATAATACCATTTTTTCAAAAAAACTTGATTGTTTGGCTGATTTTTTTCAAAAAAAGCGAAAAACCACAATATTGGTTTAAAAAAGTTCTATTTGTTTTTTTCAAAAATGACAATTTACTTTTGCATTTTTCAAATGCTTTATAGATATATTTCTCATCTAGAAATATAATTATTTCGCAAAATTTCATTAAAAACAAGTCAAAAATTCAACAAAAAAGGTGTTATTTTTGCCTTTTTAAAATGTTTAAGCACGTTTTTGAAACAAAAACAAAAAATTTCAAAAAATTACATTTAAACAGGCTAAAAAATTACAAAATAAAATCGAAATTGATATTATTTTTCAGCTTGTTTCGCTCAACTTATTTCGTTTTTGAGCCAGAGGCTCATTTATTTTACAGAATCTTGTCTAAAACGTGAATAAAAATCAGAAAAATAATAAATAATTAAAATTGATATTTGTTTAATTTCTCTAGCGTTTTCGCACATTTTCAGCCGGAAACGCAATTATTTCGCAACACTTTGTTTAAAACAAGTCAAAAAATCATAGAATTTGACTAAAAATTATGTCATTTTTGGCTTTTTCGAGAGTTTAAACAGGTTTTTAAGCTGATAACTCCCATTTTTCATAAGATTTTGCCATATCGAGTAAAAAATCACTAAATTGTTTATAAAATATATAGATATCATATTTTTACCTAACTCAGGCATTAACCACTCAGTTTATGTAAAAAAGAACGTAAACTTTTGACATTATTTTGGAAAGATTTAAATTGTAATCTTGCAATCTGATTAAAATTGGTGTAAATTTGACAACTGATCTAGTGAATTTTATTTTTTTGAGCTGGCAACACTGAATGACAATTGCCTATAAGTTTGACGTTTGAATTTAAGTCAAGGTTGCCAACTCAAGACTTTAAGATTAACGGCAACTTGCGATTAAAAATCATTCATTTCAGTACCTTTCCCATATTTCAGTAAAATATCAATTGCGGTTTTATACGCCGTAAAAGCCTCCTCGTATTTCTTCTCGTTTTCCAACTCCGTGGCGATTTTCACATGAATTGAAGCGTCTATGACGTATTGTGCGTAATTTTCGGCACAACTGGGCGTGTTGGGGGGTGTGGGGTAAATAAGACCGTCCAATAGCGTTACACTATCAGTGGTTGTGGATATGCTTATGTTATCCGAATTTCTCGATTGGTTGAGACTTAGCCGAGATTTAGGCACAGAATCGACAAAAAAATCGCTGCTCTGAAACGCACGAGACACACTTCATATTTTTTCTACTACCAGTCACTTACTGTCGTTACAGAATCAGTGTCACTGATAGTGCGATCGTCATCAGAGTTGGCTACGCAATATTCGGGGTCCTCAGGTAAGTTTAAATCAGCTCTAATTGAATTAATATTACCGTTTAGCTGATTTACAGGCGTGTGACTCGTTTCAAAGAATTTTACAAATTCGCTTGAAGTAAACAACTGAGAGTGATAACCGACATATTCTAGAAAATTCAAAATGCTCTGTCTTCGCTCCTGTACAGTCTCTTCACTAAATCTGGGACAAAAACACAATTATGGCACATTGGGGGCGAAATTCGTTACCTTTTAAAGTAGCTGGAAGTGGGCAAACTCGGGTATTTATCTTTGATGTTCAATTTATTGTGCAAGACTTTAATCTCGCGATGAAGCTTCTTAAAGTCGTTGAAACGTTTCCAGACTGTTATTTTCGTTATCGCGTCGGGGCAAGACTCGGGATAAAGCTGCAAAATCAAACATTTGATAATTCAAAATTGTGGAATGTTACCAACCATTGAGATAACTTTGTAGATGGTAAAGCCTTTCCGGTGGTTGCTGACATCGGGAATGTCAAAAATACGGACCCAATTATCGCCGTTCGACACCATTTTTTGCGTTTTTGATAAAATTTCACATTTTTTGCTCGCGATAAAGCGGCTGTCAAAGTGACAGCGAACAGCTGATTTGAGGTTACGTCCACGCTGTCACCCGAATGGAATGTCAACAATTACTTAATTTTCCATAAATAAATTATCAGACAATTTGATAATGTTGTGCAAGAGTGGCGTCTGATAAAACAGCGTCTAAGGTCGTGAAAACAATGACACATTTGGTAAATTTCAATTTTTTAAATTGGGTTAATACATTAGTGACTTTTGAATTAAAAGTTGGTACCAAAAAGTCCAAAAACAAATATTTATTAGACAAAAAAATTGCGAAAAGGCATTTAACTAAAAGGCCCGAAGACACTTTATCCTCTGCGATGTTCCTTTAAACGATTGTTTATTAGAAATAATTTATTTTTAATTGACATTTTGTTTTTCACCAGATGTGTTATCGTTGGCAATTGTTATATTACTAAAATTCGGCAAAGCCAACTGGGCAATAATAAAAACCAATTCAAGGACGCCAAATTTTTAATTTTCGTTTATTTCTTAAAAACATCTAACATCAATAAATATCTGTAAAAATCTTGCGTTTTAAAGCCATAACATTAAGCATAAACCTATCGATCTTGCAACTGCAGCCTGAGATTGAGGGACTCCTCTGAGGGCGATTCCTTGAAAAGACTAGAAGACAGGTCAATCGCGACGTACAACCCGCACAGTAAGAGGGGCCCCACGATGGCCCCCTCGACCCCGAGACAGAAAATCCCCCCCGCGATGGCCAAACCCGTCAAATACGGATGCCCACCCCTGAAACGGCAATAAGAAAAACCAAAATTAGTTTTTTTAACACACAAACCCTTTGATTTCCTTATAAATCGTGGTGTCCACAATCGAAGTGGGCAAAAACTGGCAAATGGCAAACACAATTGCCTCAATTCCGCGATCTTGAGCCAACCACAGGTCCAAAACGGCGGGGAAGCACGCCCAATAGGTCCCCAAAAACGGGACAGCCCCCAGAATCGTGGCAAACGCCGACGGAAGATAGACAATCTTCACACTGAACAAATTATGAATGAACCACGTCCACATCCCGTAAAACGCGGCCATTTTGAACGACGCTGTGAAGACTCCGTTGATAGCCCCCTCGAGGGCGTGCCCAAACCGGCGGCCACTGGAGGAGAATTGCGTCATGAGCTCCACGGGCTTGTAGAGGTCGCCACTGGAGCTCAAGAGGTAGAAAAGTGTGGTGAGGAACACAATCTAAAATTTTTTATTAAATTTAATAGGGTTAGAATTGAGTTTTACCCCATTTAAGATGAAGTTTAACACAGCGGTGCCCCCGCCCAGAATCACCGACAAAAAAGCACTAAATGAGCCGAGCACCAGCCCGATATTCCCCTTGACTATGGACCAAACCGACTCCAGGAGCGACAAAAGCGTCCCCACGTTCTGTTTCGCAAACTCCACGATTCCATTCAAGTTGAACATTTCTACGAAAATTAGTTTCTGCACGAGTTGCATACAATTTTTTACCTGGAGACCGCTGGATGTCACTGAGGAAGTTCTCCCATGAGACTCGGACCGCGTCTTCGGTCACTTTGGGGCCGTTTGCGTCGTTTGTGGACATCCAGGATTGGTACACCCTGTCCCACAATTCCAAGACTTGCTTTTCGAGTTTTTCCGATTTGGCTGAATCCACATCTGTCATCATTCCCCTGACCTGGGGAAAAAACAGTGATTGGGGGAATCCCCATAGTGTTGCCAGGTCTGGTGAAATTTCACTAGATTTGGTGATTTTTATACTAGTTTAATTTGGTGAAAACTTTTGAAAAAATTCTAATTTCTGATGATTTTTTAGAAACGTGACAAAAAATTAACAAAAATAAATCTAAATTGATGTTATTTCGTTTGTTTCATTCGATTTAGCTCTTTTTGAGTGAAATTTTGTTAAAAAAATTGGCGAAAAATACAAAATATGGTCGAAAATGGTGTTAATTAAAACAAACAAATCAAAAAACATCAAATTAAATCACTATTTTTGCCTCTATCAGGTGTTTAGCATGTTTTTCAAATAAAAACGTTAATATCGGGTGACTGTAAATGATTGTCATTTTTTACCTCAAGTTGGTGTCAAATTTAAAATATAATTTGGCAACACTGACTTTCAAATTCAAAGGTCAAATTTTTATACATACAGGATGCGCCAGAACTCGCGCCCCAGAGAAAAATGTCATATAAGGTAAGATACCAGGAACATGGAAAAAATGTTAAAAAAATTTTATCTATAAAATTTTCGAAGTTATGAGGGTTTAAAGTTTGCACTTTGACTCTATTTATTTCTGTTGGAAAAATAATTTCCCAAGTTTTTTTGCTATAGGATATTAAAAGAGGAAACAAGGAAGCTTTATCCTAAATTGTGTAACTCAGTTAAATGTTATTTGTGGCTTTTATTGGCAAACTTTTTGTCCCTTTACTAAATAATTGTAAAAAAACAGATACAAGACCATCAGTGTCATTAAATAGATATAAAAAAATGTCAAATGTCAAAAAATAAACGTCAAAATTTTTTGACAGTTAGAATTTTTTAAACATTTTTTTCATGTTCCTGGTATCTTACCATACTTGAAAATTTTCTCTGGGGCGCGAGTTCTGGCGCGAGTTCTGTATATAACAAATTTGGAAGGATTACGAATAATTCAGTGTTGCCAATAGATTTTTTTTGTCATAAACATTAATAGTTACCCGGTATTTTGCAAAATTTAATTAAAAATTAGCCAGAAAAGTTTAGAATTAGACTAAAAAAAAATAGCGTTACCTATTTTTGCATTTTTCGAGCATTTAAGCACGTTTTTGAGCAGATTTGGGAGATTTATCACGTAAATCACCAGATCTGGTGATTTTTTTGTACTAGTTTAATAATTTGGTAAAAATTTTTGAAAAAATTCTACTTTCTGATGATTTTTTAGAAACATGACTATAGTTCCAGCAGAAAATTAATGTACTGTAACTTTTATAAATCGAGTATTCGCCCAAATAATTTGTTTTTTTTTAATCATTGATATAGTAAATTCAGTCAAAAATGATGACACTACTTTTTTGTATTTTTGAACATTTTGCACGTTTTTTTAGCCACGCAGAAACTCAAATACTAAATTTTCTCAAAAACAAGTTGAAAAATCGAGAGATAGTTTTGTTTTTGTAAATGGTATTTCACTCAACAAGATAAAAAAAAAATCTCTAAAATAGGTCAAGAAGTACATTATTTTGTCCATTTCTGAGCGTTTTAGTATGGGTTTAGTCAGAAACAGAACTATTTTGCAAAATTTCGTTAAAAACAAACCGAAAATTTATCAAATTAGGCCAAAACTAATGTTATTTTTGGATTTTCAAAGTGTTTCAGCACGTTTTTAAAGTACATTCAAATTTTTGATAAAACTGACTGAAAAATTACCAAATTAGATTGAAATTGATTTCATTTTAGCGGATCTCGTTCGATTTAGTTCGTTTTTGAACCAGAAACTCAGTTACTTTGCAGGATATTGTCAAAATATGCTTAAGCACAACAAAAAAAATTAATGTAAATTGATGTTATTTCGTTTGTTTCATTCGATTTAGCCTTTTTTTAATTATTTTTACATACAAAATATGGTCGAAAATGGTGTTAATGCAAGATTTTACCAAAACAAACCAAAAAAACATCAAATTAAATCACCAATTTTACCTCTATCAGGTGTTTAGCATGTTTTTCAAGTAAAAACGTTAATATCGTGTGACTGTAAATGATTGTCATTTTTTACCTCAATTTGATGTCAAATTTAAAATTTTAGTTTGGCAACCTTGACTTTCAAATTCAAACGTCAAACTTTTATACATACATAACAACGAATAATTCAGTGTTGCCAATAGATTTTTTGTAATAAACATTAATAGTTACCCGGTATTTCGCAAAATTTTATTAAAAACTAGCCAAAAAAGTATAGAATTAGACAAAATAAAATAGTGTTACCTATTGTTGCATTTTTCGAGCATTTAAGCACGTTTTTGAGCAGATTTGTGAGATTTATGTAAATTTATGTAAATCTTTGACAGTAATAAAAAAATAAAAGATAATCTTGTAATCTGGTAACTTTTCAGCTCAAATCTGGTGAATTTAATTGTTTTGAGCTGGCAACACCGTTGGGATTGAAAATTCGGGGATTTACCGCTTTGGAAATGCCCTCGCGGCCATATTGGTACGCATTGTCCAAAACCGAATCGACAGTGTCGTCCCATGTGGGGGGCAAAAGCTGGCGCAGTTCCGGGTTGTGCACCACAGTCTGGTTAATCACGTTTCCGGTCATTTGTACCAACATAATGGCCTCAGCATAAATCTAAAACTTCAATTAAAAAAAAAAAAAACAACCCTAACTTGGTTTTTACCTGAATTGCGATAAAAATCGACGCACAAGTGAGGAAAATAATAAGCCCAAAAATAACAACACAGCTTGCCACCGTATCAATACTTTCCTTAATACTAGTTTTGAGAAAAATATTTATCTTGTGGACCACTCGATAAAGCCCCCTAATTGGTACAGGGACAAGTGCGTCATGTCTCTCACAACACCAATGACACACCCCCAAAATGGCAATTTTCAAGTTGTCGTAGACCCAATTCCACACCCCGAAGTACTTCCCCGCATGTTTGAGACAATACAACAAAATCGGTAGTGGCAACAACGGCAACAACACGATATTTTTCCAAAACAACATCACAATACACGCCCACAACACCGAATACAAGTAAAAAGTGCTCTCGTATTTCTCCGTATCGATGAGACTCTGAGTCGAACCTTTCTCGCTCAAGCGCCGACTGAAATTCATGAAACTTGAGCGGTTTTTCAGCGAAAATTGCGGCTGAGACAGTGACCGTTTCAGCTCTTTCGGGGCTTTCGAAATTAGGTGAATCCCCTGATTGGTAATCAACACACTCGCGTTGCTCATCGAATCACTCGATTTCTTCTCCTCGAATAAATCTAACGAGTAGGGGTCGCGTCGGGGGGCGACGTCGCCGACGCCGTCCTCGAACTTGACCGCAGTCTTTGGTGTCTTTGGTTTGGGCTCCGCAATTTCTGTAGTTTTTTCACTCGCTTCGCTCGCCACGTCGTGAAATGCGAGAGATAGCGACTCGAGGAATGTCATCGAGTGGCCTTCGGCGTTCAATTCGCTGTAAATGTCGTAGACTTCGCTCACAAAACCCCCAAAAAACACGACTTGGAGAAAAATAAATGCGGCCATTTGGAACGACCCAAATAAGTGGGCTAGGCAACAAGATAAAAACAACCAAATTACGATTGAGGCGTAGTGAAACCGAGTGTTATTCTCGGGCTTCCAGAGGAGAAAGGTCATCGAAATGTAGGCGATTAAAATTAGGCCAAACTGAAACATTTTCATTCATTTAATTGTCACTTATTTTTCATATTAATGTGCATCAAGTAGGCTGTAGAAATCTAAATGCATCTTTAATTTAAAGGCCGATTCACACAAAAAGTGTCATTAATGTCATTCAAAACAAATTTAATCGTATCAATAATGACAAAAATCTTTTATGTTAATTTTAATTATTTTTTGCTATCTGGGGCACACAATTATTTGAAAAAATAATTTTCAAAGAAGATTGAGGTTGGGATTTTGAGTTTTCGCATGGTTGCCACCTTAAAATAATCCCTTGCAACGCCTACTTCGAGCACATTAACATGAAAACGATTATATTTACCAGAGGTAGAGTGGCGATATCCAGGCAGAAATTCAACACGAAGTAACTATAAGTGTAAGCCTTGTAAAAAATGCAAACTACCAGTTTTGGGGTGTAGTTGTAGACCAGGAGCCCCACTGGGACAGCCACACAAGCCGCGATAATAAATTTAATGCGTTTCAAAATCTGGTCTCCGATTAAGTCCGACAGGTCGTTGACGATGTTAATGGGGATGAGGATCACCCCCAGCACAATGGGGGTGTGCGCCACCTCCAGACTCTTGAACCAGGCTTGGAACTTGTCGCGGAGGGACCTCTTAAGGGGGTGCAGCACTGACCCGACGAGCAGGGCCCACACTAGAGGCTTGACGAACGGCTCCAGGATCATAAACAAGGCCCAAGTGGCCACACAACACAGGACGAGCAGCAGAAGGGCCACGGCGTTGTAAAGGGCATGTTTGACCGGCTTGTCATGCCCCTGAGGAAGCCCCCCGATTATGCCGAAGATGCTCTCCAAGGGCGAACGGTGGTCCATCGCGACTTAATTCAGATTGAGTTTATCGGAATGATTCATTTTTAATTTTAATGTTGACATCGGTGACAGGAGTGACACGTGAGCGGCTGACTTCGGACCATTTGGGAGATAACTTCACGCCGGTGAAAAAATATGAAATAAATAAAAAACACAAATTTAAACAACTGATTGTACGTGTATCAACAACGTTTGAAAAACTAACAAAGTCAAAACACATTTAACTCTCTTTTTGAAATAAACAGCTAGTGTATTGTTGGTTGCATAATGTCAATTTTATTTTTTTAAACATTTTAATTATTTGATACAAAAAATAAAAAATAAATTATCTTACCCACAACCAAACAAATTTTTTTTTTTATTATATTTGTGATAAATCCAAACAATAGCACACTTGAAGTGACAGCCGAGAGTTCTGTTTTACCGACTCGGAGTCGCTCGGAGCAGCTGTGTTCGCGTCAATTCTCCTTTGAAAAGTACAATACTTAAATTATTTGTTTATCAAATTATTTATTTTTGATAAATTCCCGTTTCTGCATGTGCTATAATTGATAAAAAATTGCTGTTGCGTATTTTCGGTGTGGTGATTTTTGCGGTGTTACTCCGTGGTTTCCCGAACATCTAATTCAAACGTCACTTTGACGTTTCTCTCGGGCAAAATAAACCATTTCGTTAAGTCGGAAAACAGTCAGTTTCGGACTGTCGTGTGTTAAGTGTGTGCGAAATGTTGCAATAAATCGGATTGTGTACGAAGACATGGTGACAATGACTACCCTCTTAGTGTCCGCGGCCGAATTATCAAACATTTTTTCCGTAATTGCAGTACTGTTATGTTTTTGTGCGATGATCCTGTTCATCACCAGGTCAGCCTCTTTATTTATAGCCCTTTGCGGCCGTGATTGAAAAATCGTGTGTCTGAGATTAATCCAAATGCCAAACAAAATGTCAATTAGTATCGCCAAGGCCTACGTTATTCAGGATTCTTACAAAATAATGCTAATTGTTTATTATTGTTTAATTTGCATGAATCATTGGCCCATTTGTTTATTAAAAAACTGCAACACAATTTTTCCAGTTTTGCGTTAATCGTGTCTAAAATCACACTTTGTTGCATTTAGTTTACATTTGATAATATTGTTGCCACCTACATTATAGCTTTTTCCTGCTGTGAATTATTTATTTAGGCTTAAATGGAGTGTTTATATTCCGGACCTTATACACTACATGTGGTTCGAATTATTAAATAACTCACTTGTTTTCAATAAGGTACCAGAGTAATTTATTGTTTTTATCAATTTGCCGGTTCTGAAATTTTCCACGAGGAAAGTTTCATGAAAATGTGCGCATCAGAGTGTGCTTTGCCCATTTGTCAAACTCAATCACTGACATGCCACCACAAATTGTCAATATCTGTCAGGTGTCATAACGATTTCAAAACAAATAAATTTTAGAAGTTTCAAGGTCGCTTTTCGGTTTTTGGAAGTGTTTACAATGCCACAAAAAGTGTGTCAATACTCGAAATTCACTTAAATTAATAATATTTGCAGGATTTTTTAAATAAATAAAAGTAAAAAACTGGAAATTTTTGACATTTGTTAAATCACAGCTAACTAGGACAAAAAATTTGATCAAGTCTGGTCCTAGCCAAGACAACGTCTTTAAGGTGTCAGTTATCATTATTTTACAATTAGTTAAACACTCGACGTGGGAAAATTACGTTTCTATTTTTAGAAAATATTATGTATTAAGTGTGTAAACTGGAATAAAACACATTTTATGTAATGCAAATTTTTTATTTGTCTAACATGCGTGACTGTAATTAAAAAAATATTAATTGTTTTAGTGATTTACGTTCTAGAGTTGCTAATTCATTGTTGTCAGATTGGTATTTACAACATTGGATAAAAAAACATGGTCAAGAGGGCTCTGAAAGTTTTGTGAACGTATGTCTTGAATAACATGTCACTTATCTGTCAAATTTGAATACCTGTCCTGCGTTAAATATTGATTAAAACCAATTATTTTAAATAATTTGACATTTTGTTATACTTTTTTTTTATTTTGATATTAAAAAATTGTCAATTTGGCTGGAAAAATCCATCGTGTTTTAATTTATTTAAATTGGGAGTAATTAATACTAATAGTTATACAAGGTGTTTGGTAAAAAACGCAGTTATTTACTGTCACATTTTTGTCTGTAAGTCAAGTTTTGTAAAAAAATTGGTTTCTTCACACATGTGAAGCAACTGTTGAAAATTACCTGTAGTCATAACCGGTGACAGGTGGAATGATTAAATAAACGAAATAACATAACTTTTATTACGTTAATGTTATGCAAAATATTTATTGATTGGTTTTTGGGTCAAAAAGTGGTGTTTTTTTATTTCAGAAACATGATGGTGCTGCGGGTCCACGGCGACGATTTCGTTTTTCCAAATTCCCTCCATCAAGTATCGCCGAGGATACCTCAAATGAACATGATGAAAGTTCACATTCCCTTCACTTTCAAGCTTTTAGAAACGTCCAAATCGACTTATTCAGGTGAGGATGTGTGTAGGAAAATTCAACGTAAAAAATAACACGACGTCGGGAATGTAAAATAATTTGAATAAAATGTAGAAGTTGCAGTAAAAACATTCATTGGGTGAAATAGCAAAAAAGCATTATTATTATAATTATTCCAGTGATTTTCTTACATAACTTGTAATGTTTGTAGTGCCGGTCTCTTACATAACACAAGAATGTAAAACGCCAAAAATACATTAAACGAGTTTGAAAATTAGATTTTTCTTTTCGCATAAGTAACTGTAAATCTTTTGCAATTGCAAACAAGAATGAATATTTTTTATGCTTTCACTGGGAAACCTTGAATTCTCGTCTTCCAGTAGGTATTTAAATTGCAAATAAAATGTGCATAGTATACAGCATTTTACGTCCGGTCTTGATGAGAAAGAACAAAGGCTTGAGGAATTTTTTGGGTGTTTCTTCGAACCTTGAACCTATCACCACCAAAACGGAGCCATCGATCAAAGTTTAACACACCTAAACTGTTGTTTTTGACAAAAAAAACTCGTATGTTATTCGGCGATTAATAGTGCACTCGCAACTTTAAATTTTTAAATTCAACTGTTTTTTATTCAGTATTTGCCCTAATTTCGTCCAAAAACTCGAAATGTGAAAATGCACTTTTATTGAGTTGTCGGAAATTTTCCAAAACGTATAATTTTGAAGAAAACAGGAAATCACAGAACTTACAGGCTTATTATACTTGTGTCTTACTTAAAAATTTTTTTTGTTGAATATGATTGTATTTAATATTTTTCAAATGATACATTTTGCATAAATAAGTTAAAATTTCCGATTAAAGTGACCTGTGACTTTAAAATTAGGTTGGCAGCACTGGTGATATTAGTTTGTGTTAGGTGACGGCCATGCCACTGGCCGCCCCTCGGAAATGACTGACAATTGACTATAAAAATGTGACGTTTGAATTTGACAATTAATGTTGCCAACTTAATTACAAAGTCATCTTCGATCAGAAATTCATTTGAAAGTTATTCTTATTACTTTTATTTTTTTTTCCTTTTGTTTACAATATCCTGTTGCATCAAATGCATATTTTATGTGTGCAACTTTCAAAATTCACTAATTTCTTATACTAACCTTGCCTTGTTTATCACTTCGTTATTTTTATTGTAGCACTAATTTTTTTCCTTTAATTTAGTGTTTTGTAATTCGGGCTATAAAATCATAGGTTTTTTACACAAGGCCAACTACACTTTTTCAACTTTTTCTTAATCGCATTTTACAGCATCTGTTCTTTTATTACATACAGAGTGGTGAAAAATAATTGTTTGATTTGGCTAAACTGTTTAGTTTTGCCAGCATCATCTACCAATTCAAATTATACCAAACATAACCTACAATCTTGCTACGTCAAATTGCAGTGTTGCAAATAGCCGAAAAAAACTTCTCTTTATTTTGTTACCAACTCAAACACTCATTCTTGATCACCCGGTATACATTGTATAGAGTTAACATAATTGAATAAAAGCAATGTCAGATTAACTTGCAAAAAAAACTATTACTAATTACTGGATGATTAAAAAATAATTTAATAGTATTTTTTTCAAATTCGCTCTTTTAAACTCTTTAATGGGTGTCTCAACTTATCAATCATTAGTACAAATCCTTATAGCTAAAAAGTACACCTTGCGGTGTTGCCATTTTTATTTGATTTTACTGTTCTTTGCATTTTGTTTTATTTATACAATTTTAAATAAAATTAAATGCAAGGTAGGATTCAAGGATTCGGTCCACTTAGTTTACGGAAAAAAAATCATGGCCTACTTAGCTTATTTAATCTCCAACATTAGATAATATGCCGGTGTAATGTACATAATTTCACAATGAAAGTGTGTATTTTCTTACGTTAATCCATACGTAATTGGTATTTTATCTCAGTATTTTTCACGGAAAATTGAAAATTGAAAAATTGGAATTTGAAAAAGCTACGTTGCCACATTTCGTGTTAATAATCTCGTTTAAAAGAGTGCATTGCCTCTTCCTGTCTACACAATCATCCTATGCATCATTACTCACAGCCACGTTGATTCAATAATAATAAAACTAGAAAACTCTTGAAATAAAATCGTTCGAAAGAACGACCAGAGATACAGAACGTGTTGGATGCAATTTCACTTTCACTGTATTTGTGTCGGTGTTACGTAACAAACGACCGCATTTTGTTTAAGTATGAACACTCCAGGTTGTACTATACATCTCCAAGAGACCCAGTTTGAGGTTTGATCATTTTCTCTCACTTTGGTTTTGTCGATATTTCGAAATTCGATTTTCCTCGAGAATAAATCGAAAGGAGACGTTGCGAAACATTCGATTTTGCAATACCGGTTTTTATTTTAACAGTGGATTTATTTGTGCAATTGCAATTTTGACTAGACGAGACAAGAAGTTTAACAAAAATTGATTTTTTAATTCTAGTAACTTATTTGTCTCGGTAGTTTTATATAAGATATTTTGTAGGTGCTAAAAAACGGTTAAGAAATGCTTTTTCGCCATTCTGTTGTGTAAAAATCCGGAAATTTTATGTACAGGGTGATTCATATAAAACTACTGGCCTGACAAATTTCAAATACAGTAACTTGTTTTATGTTTTAGACATCTTTGAATAAACGTCATTTATTTATAAGATTGACAGTTGTCATTTCGTCAAGGTTGTCCAAAAATCTGATTTTTGAATTTTTTTATAAAGTTTTAATTTTATAAACTTTATAATTTATAAATATGAGTCACTCTGTAGATTAGAAAAACATTATAAAAATGTCATTTTGTTGTGTAAAAACCTCATTTATTTGTCATATTGACAGTCGTTATTTAGTCATGGATGTCCAAAAGCTTTTTGTTGATTTTTTGTAGAGCTTTAGTTTTATTTAAGTCACTCTGAAGATCAGATCTATTAAAAAAATATATAAATGCCATTTTCTCGTATAAAATTCTCATATTTTACGTACAGAGTGACTCATAAAATTGTGTGCCAGACAAACTTCAAATACAGATCACTTGATCTATAAAAATTAATGATTTAACTTGTCATTATCTTTTGGACATCCTTGGAAAAAGCGCCATTTATTTGTTACATTGACAGTTGTCATTCCGTCAAGGATGTCCAAAAATCTGATTTTTGAATTTTTATAAAGTTTTTGTTTTATATGAGTCACTCTGTAGATTAAAAACGTCATTTTGTTGTGTAAAAATCCGGACATTTTATGTACAGGGTAATTCATATAAAACTACGGGCTTCACAACTTTCAAACACAGAACTTGGTTTATAAAAATTTATCATTTAACTTGTCATTATGTTTTGAACGTCCTTGAAAAAACGTAATTTATTTGTCAGATTGACAGTTCTCACCTCGTTAAATATGTCCAAAAAATTTGATTTTTTAATTTCTTGTAAATTTCTAATTTTATATGAGTCATTCTGTGAATTAGAGTGTTTAGGTGTTAAAAAAACTTATTAAAAATGCCATTTTATTGTGTAAAAAACTGAAAATTTTATGTACAGGTTGATTCATATAAAACTATGGGTCTGACAAACTTCAAATACATAAAATTTGATTAATAAAATTTGTATCATTATGTTTTGGACATCCTTGTAAAAAATGTTATTTGTTAGATTGACAGTTATCATCCCGTCAAGGATGCCCAAAAGCTGATTTTTGATTTTTTTGTTAAACTTTAGTTTTACATAAATCACTCTGAAAATCAGATCTATTAAAAAACATTTTAAAAAATTCCATTTTGTCATATAAAAATTCGTATGTTTTATGTACAGGGTGACTCATATAAAATTGGGCCTGACAAACTTTATATACAGATTACTTAATCTATAAAAAATAATCATTTATCTTCTTATTATGTTTTGGACATTCTTGGAGAAAGCGACATTTACTTGTTAAATTGGCAGTTGTCATTTCGGATGTCCAAAATCTGATTTTTTAATTTTTTATAAAGTTTTTGTTTTGTATGAGTCACTCTGTAGATTAGTCTAGATGTTAAAAAGCACTTAAAGAATGTCTATTGATGTGGGGGTGATATAAAATTACGGGTCTGATAAACTCAATTTGTTACATTCTTGGAAAAAACGTCATTTATTTGTCAGTTTGACAGTTATGTGGTAAAGGATGTCCAAAAATTAAAATTGTCAATTTTTTGTAAAGTTTTAGTATATTAAAAAGTCTAGGTGTTAAGAACATTTTTAATGAGTCACCCTGTAGATATTGTCATTAGTGATTATATGAAGTGGACTTGTCTGCAAAATAACAGAATAATCGGAATTTGGGGAATCCCACAAGGCGCTAATTTGGGATCAGTGTTATACTTTTTTTTTAATGTTAGAATCTACATAATTTTTTAGACTCAATTATTTCTTGATACTTTATTATTAGTGTATTAATAAAAAAATTATTTATTTCAAAACATTTTTGGTGATAAATTTAGATTAATTTTTTTAAATTTATGGACTTCATTCATGTGCTAATTTATAACCTTCATTAATGAATGAGTTGTTAATTCAAATCATCGATTATAATCAAATAAAATTTGAAAATTAGCTTGTAATTAGCTCGTATGTTACTCGGCGATTAATAAAACCGAAAATTAAAACGCACTTCTATTCTAGAAACTTGTAAGATAAAAGTGCACATTATCATGAGTTGGCGGAAATTTTTCGTATAATTTGAATTATAAAAAAAACAGGAAATGACAGAATTTCTTAAACAATTTATTATATCTGCTTGTCTCCGTGAATTGTTTTTTATATTTATTGTAGACTTTCGGTAGAATTATTTTCAAATTACCTAAAATTTTTATTTTTTTTTTAAGTTGAGGTCCTTGCCCTAAATGACGGTTACGTGTCCAGCAAAGAAAATAACATTTTGCAATAAGCGTTCGTGTCGTTGAAACGGAACTGATGACATTGAAGAAGGTTTAATTACTACGTGCCTTCATTCGGTCCACGTATTTTTATTTACACGTTACACATAATTATCGTGTTGCTAAGTTTTGTAATTTTCTGCAAAAAAATATCAACGATTTTGACATATTTGTTGGCGCTCCGGTTTTGAAATAAACTTTCACGAGAGAGAAAAAAATTTGAGATGAGGTCAAGTTTTTGGTGCGATGGTTATTCTTAGGGCTACTGGAGAGAGTTCAAAGAACTTTTCATCACATATCGAGCAGGTTCAAGTTTTTCACGGTTAACACAACATTCGAATTAAAAATTATCAAGTTTTGCAAAAACGGATTTTTTCTCTTAATTGTGTAATATTCTTGTTCATTTAGAATTTTTGTTCTAGTGGTATTTAAATTTCTCAATTCATTTTTATCAAATTTCTTTCAATTTCCAATTATTATTTTAATCGAAGTATTGTTTTATGGCCGAGTGGGTCCATACTTTGTAACGGTTGTAAATTTTATTTCTTTTTGATTAATTTTTTCGAAATAATTGTAATAATCATTAAAAAATTAAAATTCACCTATGTAGCCTCATAAAATCGAGTTGTTATTGGAATAATCCATTTCAAATAAACAACAAAAATCTTAACAGATAAACCAATTAACTTAAATGAACAAACGAAAACAAGAGAAATTTGCATAAAATGTCGTGTTTTTCCCATTTTTTTTTTTAATTTCAATCTTAATAAGATAAGTTGCAGTCAAATATAACGTAAAATGTATCCAACCTTAACAAAAAAAGACAACTGGTTTCATTTTAATTATTTTTGGTCGTTTTTTTGAAATTGTTTGTTTTACAACCTTCAAAAAGTCATTTGTGTGACATTTATTACATAGGAAAAATCATTCCTTGCCCCCAATTAAATTTTTCGTTAGAGTAGGCTGTGATTCTAAAATAAAGTTTGCAACACTGAATAAAATAGAGGCAGAATTCAATATGTGATCTTGCAATTAAATTAAATGGAAAGATAACACTGTAAATAGTTGGGAAAGATCTATTGGCAACACTGAATTATTGATGATATATGACGGCTAGTAAGCGACAATTTACAATAATATTGTGACGTTTAAATTTGATAATCAGTGTTGCCAAATTAAGATTTTGATTTGGCCTACTTGACGACAAAAATCACAATCATTGATTTGTTACGATAATTTCTGTCTCCACATTCAATGTTGCCAATTTCAGAACGATTTTCTTGCAATTAAATTTTTGATTAGAATAGGCTGTGATTCTAAAATTAAGTTTGCAATACTGAATAAAATAAGGAGGGAAAATATTAATTTAATATGTAAGTTGTCAAGGATATTGCAATTAAATTAAAATTTAATAATGTAAAGACTGTAAATGGTTGTGAAAAATGTATTATTGGCAACACTGAATTATTGATGATATAAGGTTGACGCCTAGCCGGCGGCCGCCCCTGGAAATGAATGGCAATTGACTATAAAATTGTGACGTTTCAATTTGACAGTCAATGTTGCCAATTACTTGACGAAAATCACAGTCATTGAATAATTTAGTTACGCGGTAAATTCTCTCACTACATACAATGTTGCCAACTGAATTTCCGAGTCACAGGTCACTCTGATGGTGAAATGTAATTATTGAGAAATTTTTTTAATAAAAACTTTGAATATCTTTTTTTTTTATTTAATAAGCACCCTAATGAGGCTAATTTAATTAGAAAATCGTCTCGCCTCGTCATTAGGAGATAGAAAAAACTGCCCGAATTTCGATTTATGTCGAAGCAATTAAATTTTGATTAAATAAATTAGTTCTAGTTAAGTCAAAATGTGTTTGACGTCAATGTTTTGTCGACTTTCTTAATAATCTTTTAACAATTTTTGGTAAATGAACCACGACCTTGATATTTAGTAGGTGTACTTAAATTTTAAATAACGCGACATTTTCATACAATCTGTAGTAAATAATTCACTTTCTGTCAATTTCAAACTAGTTTAACTAGAAAGCCATAAATACAATCACTAACCTGGTTTTTTACATTTTTTTTTCAAATTGTGAAATTTATTGAATTGGGCGTCCATAAATCGGGAAATGAGTCCGTCCCTGACGCTGATTTATTCATAATTAGTGATAATGCGAGGCTGCAAAAATGCACACTTCCAGAAATGCGTTTCATTTCCGGTAATTTGCTTTTAATCACTTCTTAACAGAAATTTTCCCTGTTATCCTCTCGAGTACGTGCCCCAAGACAGGTGTTGTGAGGAATCGCAACAAATAAGGAAATGATAGTCGCAATAATCGATCGTTGAAATCACGTACTAGTTGAGAATTATTTCAGGCGAAAAAAAAAAGTCCGTTTGACTCGACCTTGACTATGGCATTTTTACCGTAAACTTTAAAAGTCGATTTCGCTTAGTTTTGAGTAATTCTATCAAAACGATCACTTTTAAAACTCATTGTTTCTGATTTTCGTAAATTTGAGATATGTTATAGATCGTGTAGAAATAAGTGAAACGTATTTCACCGTTTTTTATTTTTTCAATGTATGTTGAAAAAACAGGGATATACCTCGTAGCAAATACCTCGTAGCAAAAAGAATTTTTATCTAAAGAACAAGTCGAGCGAAGCCCATAAAAGGTACATACTTTTATTCCAATATCAAAAAATAAAATAAAATATAGAGAGTCAATTTTGATATATTTTTTTGTTCTCATTTTTATTATTATTATTATAGGTATATATCTAACTTTTTATTTTTTTGGGGTTGAGTTAAGTAGCCTTCGGCTAGACTTCGCCCCACAGAGTTTGTATTTTATTTATTTGTTTTTGTTTTTTTTTTCTAATAAAGGCCTATTATTATTATTAATTATTATTATTAAAGAGTACTCTTCCTCAACCGAAGAATTTGTTTTTTATTATTGATATTTTTTGAAAAATAAATGTTAATAAGTTATTAAAAATTATGTGTTTTCTTTAGAACAATTTATTAGTGACGGTGATTCGTAATTTTTCTATTTAATTTCCAAGGAAATGGTACTTTCAGGCGATCTTAGGGGATCATGCACTATACAGCACTTTAAAAAAAAAAAAAAATTTCAGCCATTTTTAAAACTTATGTGAAGACAGTAAAAATATGAGAGTTTTAACATAAATTTTTTGAGAATTTTAAAAACCTGCCTAATTGTTTATTTTTATGTTTAAACAAAATATTTTTAAATTATTTGTTAATAACAAATTTTTAGAATACATATGTTATCACGTCCATAGTGTGCCTAGTTATATCTATTATTAAAAAAAATGTTTCAATATGTTGATTTGTTCTTTAGATAAAAATTCTTTTTGCTATGAGGTACTTAATTTTGTATATTCCTGTTTTTTCAACATACATTGGAAAAATAAAAAACGAAAGAATACGTTTCACTTATTTTTAAACGAACTACCTATAACATATCTCAAATTTACGAAAATCAGAAACAATGAGTTTTAAAAGTGATCGTTTTGGTATGGAATTACTCTTTTTTGACGAAAACATGCGTTTTTAAAAAAATTATTACACAAAAACTAAGACAGCTAGAACAATTTTTTTTTACTTCTGCATTTGTAAAGATTAATAAATTAAGAAGTTTGTTAAAAGTTAAATAACTTAAAAATTTTTAATGGAACACCCTATTTTTTATTTTTGCATCTAATAGATTGGTAAATTGTCTATCTAAAAAAATAAACTTTTAATATCTAGAATTGATAAATGAAAAGATATGGTAATTCCACCACGGATCACTTATCCGTTGATTTATCCAAAGATTGTAAAAGTTATAAATACTGAAATTCGAATTATTGTATTGTAAAAATAAAGAATAATGGATTCAGTTTAACACAAATTAAGTGATATTTCTTTCATCTCTTGTGCAACTGTGCACTTTTTGGCTACTGAAACAATAGTAATTTTTTTTAATGTTTAACGTTAAATATCTTTTTAGTTATTGATTATAAACACCTAAAAGTAAATAATTTTAGAAAAACAATTTAATAATCTTTTAAATGCAAAACCAATAAATAGGGTGTTGCATTAAATTTTTTTAAGATATTGAACTTTTAACAAACGCCTTCATTTTTTTATCTTTGTAAATGCAATACACTAAAAAAATGTTACAACCTTATAGTTTGTACCTTCTTCTTTGCGGTAGTAAAAAAAATACTTCTAGATGTCTTAGTTTTTGTGTAATGAATTTCTAAAAAGTGCATGTTTTTGTCAAACTAAGCAAAATCGACCAATGAAAGTTTAGCTTAGAAACTTTGTCATAAAAATCTACATCCAAAAACGCTAAGAAACATATGGTGTTTCATTTAAAAAAACACAAGTTTGTATTATAACTTATTTCTGAGACACGCTGTATAGTTGAAAATACTTTTAGGCGATAGCCTAGATTAGTATCTATCAATGTCCTATTTAATTTTTGTTTAATTTTACCGTTTAAAAGTCACTTTGGACTTTTTCAACTTGCTGGGACACCCTGTATAATTTGCAAATTTTTTTTTTTTTAATTTTATATCTTTTAGTCTCACACCATTGGATTCGCAGATGACACCCGTTTGCGAATTAAGCCAAATTATGCATTTTTTCGACGATTTGTAAGTAAAATAAAGTATCATAATTGTGAGTTTCGGCACGGAGAAACGAAAGTGGTCATATTACGTCATTAATGTATTCGCGGTCAATTATTACGTGGCCTCTTATAGATGCTAACTGACCTACATAACCGATTGTTCGAGAGACAAGTTTGATATTTATTAGAGAAAATTTTCAATTGTTACAAAATTCAGGAACATTTTTTTTTTCAGAAGTGCAATGCAGCGTATCTAGTCAAGTCGAGTACCAAATTCAGGCATTTTGGGGCGTGAACATCCGCGAGTTGCATATTTTCCTATGGCGTCCCTGGTCCGACCTTCGCGAAGCCTTCCAAAGGGGCGACTTCCTCAAAGGCTTCTACCAATACCCCGGAATACAACTAAAGTGAGTTTTTCCCCCGTTTTGCCACCCAAAAACCGACCATTTTCCAGAAAAAGTCCCCATTCGGACCAAACCATTACGTTGAAATTACCAGCGGCGTCGCTCAATCTGGGGACTCCCCCCCGATTGTGTTACCCTTTGGTGATTTTCTTGTTCCGCACCGACGCTGAGGATAACATCCATCCGGACGAAACGGTGAGAAATCTCCAATTTTGGTCGATTTTAACTCAAAATTTAGGTGGCGTTGATCAACGTTGTGCACATCAAAGACTCCGTGTGCACCCTCCCCACCAGCATCCTCGCCCAGTACCTCAAACAGGCCAATGGGCAATTATCCTGTTTGAAAGTGAGTTTTTTAAATAGTAAAAATCGAGTTTGAGTCGCTTTTCTAGCAATTGTATTTGGCGACGGGCAATCCGGGGGGCTACGAGGAGGGGCAGATCCCCCTGGCCGTGGCCGAGCCGGTGGAAGGGGGCCCCGGGCCGTTGGGACGCACACTGGTGTGCCCCACGAGCGACGACTCGGCCTTGTGGAACTCCTCGGGGGAGCAGTTGTGTGTCGTTTGTCAGTACTTCCCGCTCTCTAGGGCTCTGCTCCCGTGCAGGTAGGGTCGGAGATGGGGGCGTCAGAGGCTGATTTCTCGTTTCAGACACACTTGTATTTGTGCGAGTTGTTTTGTGAAGCTCGATCGGTGTCCGATGTGTCGGGGGCCCATCAAGAGCTATTTCTGCATCAGGGGGGAGGAGTACATGCCCATTCAGCCGAGCTCCAAGACGGTTAACACACACAGCCCCCTTTACAACTGGTTGGATAGTTGGAATGATCGACTAACGGACTTTCTCGGCTTTCAGCGGTAACAAGTCGAGGGGTTTTTATTCAAATTTCTTATTTAGAGTAAATAGAACAAAATTGTGTAGTTAGGAACTGTTACTCAATGTTCTCAAGTAAACATCACTACAAGAAAACGATTTTTTTTATAAGGTAGGTTGTGAGGTAGAGTTACGTGTAAGATATTGAATATATGTCCATATGACTTAGTCTTAAATATTTATGTCCTTTTATGCAATAACATTTTTTCTTTATTGTACATTGACTTTACACTATATTTTAGTATTTCATCTGACTTAAGCCTGTGATAATATATACGTTAAAAATAATAAAGGAAATTTATTAAACTCACTTGTCTTTCGTCTCGACTATTGTCTCTGTCGCAGAATAAACGCACAAAAAAGCTAATTTAACAAAATGTTGTTATGCAACCCAAAATACAAAGTTGTATAACGTGTTGCCTAGTTTTATTTTTAAGCTGTAACAATTATGTTTGTGAGACAAATTATAAAACATTATTTGTCTTGTTTTTTTTTTCTTGTTCAGAAGACACCAATAATGTTGCGATAGTTATGCAATCAAAAATACGAGCTGTATAATCTTTTTCATCAAGTAGGTTGTAGAAGTGTAAATGCATCTTAACTTAAAGGCAGATTCACACAACAACTGTCATTAATGTCATTTAAACACATTTAATCACATCACTATTGATAAAAACAAAGTTTGCTCCGCTATGTTAATTACGTTGTTAATTTTAATTATTTTTTGCTTCCTAGGGTACACATTTACTTAAAAAATAATTTTTAGGGTGGGTTCCTTTCTCATATGAAAACGAGTGTATAGTGTGTTGCCTAAACCACTTTATTTAACTTGTTAAAAAATAAAGAAGCGAGCTTATTAAATATTATTTGTCTATTTTTAAGGCTTATGAATACATATTTACAAGTACAAAAACGTATAATATTTGGAGGTGGGAGTATGACACTGCTATGAAAACCAGTCTGTTGTTAGGCCCCCGAACAAGGCGGCTGCACTAGACCGGATCGCTGCCGTGGCGTCTTGCGACCTTTTTGGTGTCGTTTTCGTCGGCTTTGGCGAAGAAACCTACAAAAACCCCAAGAATTTACAAAAAGTCATGATATGCAGGCAACCCAAAATACAGCTTGTATAATGTGTTGCCTACCACACGTTTTAATTCTTGTTAATACAAAAAACGCAGTAATTAGTTTAAATCACGTCAAAACACACACAATTACCCTTAAATCGTAAACCCTTGACTGCAAATCTACAAAAAAATTGTAAAATTTGCAACCTTGGACCCACCTTACCTTCACTTCTTGCACGTCCACCATTGGGGCTTTCTGCACCGGCATTTGGTGTGCAAAAGTGCAAAACAGGGGGAAAGCCACCGAAGGAACGCTCAAGGCCATCACCGACGGCTCCTTCTCCTGGTCCTTGAACTTCTCCCCCACCCCCAAATTGGCCAATTGGGCCGAATTGGGCAAAAGACACCCCATGATGACCTGCAATTGCAAAACTGCCCTTTTGACGTTGTTCTGCAAGTAGGCGTAGAACACGTCGAGGTCAAACGGGTCGATTTTCCCCCGTAGTTTATCACAGATTTCTTGCGACAAGGAAACCAAAGTGGAATTTTCTCTCGGGATACTGAAAGTCGTGAGGAATTTCACGTCGAAGAGGAGTTGGAGGGCCTGATTTTGATTCAAATTGTGGTCAAGGAGGAGTTTGTAGTGGTGGAGGACCGTTTCCATATTTTTCTCGATGAATTTCAAGTGGACTTGCTTGGGGAGGGTGTGGGGGAGGACGTGACTAAGGTCGTCGTTGAGTTTCATGAAAAGGTGGTGGAGGGTCAGGGAGGGCTTAAGGGGGACCTTAATCTGCGATTTGAAGACTTTCTCGTCGGTTTGCTCCTGGATTTCGATCGACTCCCACCTCTAATAAAAAAACTAATTTTCACAACCCAAAAAATTAAATTACTTACCAAAAGGACAGAAATCATGGAACACACACTGACGTCACTGAACAGCCCCCTCGCCGTCTTGTCTGTCTCCTGGACACAACTCTCGATCCAATTGTCCCAAAACTGGACACTGGACTTGGTGAAATGTCCACAAATCCGGGTCCAGTCCTCTGTCGTGCAACACTTGGTAAAATGGGGGCACAAATTGGTCACCGCTTGCAAAAATCGGGCACAAATCAGCGACATTGCCACACTGTGGCCCCCATTTGTGATAAAATCGTGCAAAAATACTGTTAAGGCCGTTGCATTTTTTGTACTTTCAATTCGAAGGTGATTCTCCAACTCCTCTCTATCCACAAACTTTTTCTTATTTTTCAATTGTGGGAAAATAGTTACGTCGTCGGTGAGGTCTTTGCCGTACAAATACTGAGACACGTCCACCAACAATTCGAAATATTTCTCGTCGAGTTTTTCGCAAAGATTTACGACGTTTTGCGAGTAGCCCAAGGTTTTCATCGATAAACCTTCGGATATTTATTAGGGACCAAAAATTTGGGGGAAACCCTCACCTGTGTGTTTGTTTTCAGTTCGGCTGACGTCGGTGGGGTCCTCCACCCAGGTGTACCACCTGAGGTCAGTCTCGCTGTGCTCTAAATCACCACTCAAAACTCCCCTAATTTCGTTTTCTAAGTCTTTAATAATAGAGGAGACTTTTTTTGAAATCAACTCACTGGCACGTTTCGTGATCAAATTTTGGAAAAAATAATACCAGACGTTGAAATTTTCCGGTAAATTTGACTCGGAACATATCCTATCCCAATCAATTGGCAATTCTGACACACAAAAAAACAATTATTGCAACTTTGCTAGAGCATAATTGAACTTTTACCTATTTTTAACGCCTCTTCACGAATAATATGCAGCCCCTTTACATTAGTTACAAGCTTCAACGAACTCTCCAACCCTTTCCGAACCGATTCTTTCGTACTACCCAACCACTCACCCAATTTAACATTTTCGGGGGCTGATTCCCCCACAAGACTTTTATATTTCGGCCGAAATTGCTTGATAACATCCGGTATATACGCAACAAGGGGGGTTATAGGTAACTCGGTCTTTGATAACGTCGGAATTGACTCATCTTCAACGATGTTTTCAAGTTGTTGCCAAATCAAGCCTTTTTTACTATTACCAAAACCTAACAATTTTACAAAAACACTAACAAGGTTTTTTTGATATTTTCACAACTTACACATAAAACAGTCGTGTAGTAAATGTATTGTGGTGATGAGACACCGCACCATTGCACTTATCTGAACCCTCACGCTAGCGTGTGACGAATTTATGACCGTGTTTAGGGCAATTTTACGGTGATCTATGAAAATATTCAACAAATCGGTGGCGCTTTGGTTTCGGAGGAAGAGCAACGCGTTTAAATTACTGCTAGTTTCCTGAAAATTGCAAAGTCAAACCTAACCTCACTTTTATTTCGGTGCTAGTTTTCGGGCTAATTGGCAGTGATTGATCGAAATTTCACCACACGTGTGCCCAACTAACGCAAATTAAGTAAAATTAGTAAAACTTTTACTTGTTTGTGATTTATGAAACGTATTTGAAACACATAACCTCACTTTGTGCCCTATAGATTTTTTCGTTACCTCGGCCGTAATTTCCACAAACTCCAACTTTTGTTTAATTCGATCGAAAATCTGGTCTCGTAGGGTCCCCAAATTGGCTTTGATTTGTTTCAAAAGGGGCAATTTATCTAAATATTCTCTCTTTGTTAGACTCAAACCTGGAAAAGTGTCTTAATTTTGGTCCCAGGCGAAGTGCAAGTGCCAAACCCATGTGAATATGTTGTGCTAGTAAATAGAATTGTGCGGCTGTTAGATTATCGCCCCCATCAAGTGCGGTCCATATCTGTTCATTCATAAATATCGCCAGTCTTATTTGGACAATTAAAACTCTTTCTTCGTTACTTTCCCTGTGATTTCTGGGGTCAGTTTTGGGGTAAAATCGCCACTCACTTACTTGTCTATCTCATGTAGCACTCTGGGGGGGTTTTCGCCCCTACTTTCGATCAAATCCCCACAAATATCGGTGATGTGTTGGATGTTGTCTACGATTTGTTGCGAGATTGTTTTCATGTTTTTGATAGCGTCGGACGCGGCCAAGACGTCTTTGTAGCGGTCTCTGCAAAAGTCGAGCTTGAGAGGTGCCTCAAATGGGGTTAAAGGGGCCAAAAACGCACCCAACCATGGAGCGAAGTTCCACCCGTTTCCGCTCGATTTCCGCATCAAGTAGTTTCTCTATTTCGATAATTTCTTCAATTTTGTGATCCTCAAACAACTTGTCGACGTCTAATTCGAGTAAATTGTAACTGGTGCGTGCCATTTTCGTAAAAATGCAAAATTTATAACGGGTAACCTAAAAATAGTGAAATGTCAACGTCAACATCTTGGCTAGTGACAATTGAAAAGTCACTAGGGGTTTGTACAGTCACTGACAAGTTTAATGATAAAGGTGCAGTAAAAGACAGAGTTTATGAGCATTATCATTTATTGAAATGAAGGTTTATTCAAACAAATATAATAGGTTATAATGTCATTTTACACTAACTTAAATACAACATTATAGTCTACAGGAATATGGCATACCTAAAATTGATGGAAAACGAGAACGCATTACAATAATAACCATTTTTAAAGCATCAAATCTGTAACACTAATCACTCTCATTGCTTTCAAATTGCTAAAATGCTCCGTGAGTGCGATTTTCCCAATCGCACCGCAAGCCGTAAATACTTTTAAGACACAGCGTGAATGTGAATAATACAATACTAATCAATAAGTGCAACAAGAAATAAAAACGTGTCGTTCTAACCATACAAAATGCAACAAGCCTCCTGCTTGGCACCTGGGGTGCATTTTTCATACAAACATATTGCTTACTTTACAGTGATATTAATACTAAAGGCAATATTTAAGACACTTTATTCGACAAGTCAAACCCAACGCCGGTTTTTGGAAAACCGCCGGTTATAACCTGGTTATTTGGTATTCTAGACCGTATTATATTTGTTATGTACAAAAATATATTAATTAATTTATGCTTACAACGAAATTAAGTTTTATACACATGAAACTAGTCTATACTCATTTTGCTTCGTTTTTACAGCTATTTCCTCATTTTCGTTGACTAGACGGAGTGTTACAATCAAGCCTACACTAAAAGGTACAAAATTTACAAAACACAATAAATAAATAATCTACATTACACGAATTACTCTTTTTCCCCGTTTTTGACCCCAAGTAGTTTAGCGGCATCGTCGGCAGATGCCGTTAGTACCTTATCGATAATAGACCTATCCCTGATCCCCAATAACTTACTAATCAAGTCGCTACCTTCATTCCCATCCGATTCCTCCTTATTTTGCATGTTGTTGTTGTCAATTTTGGCGAATTTCTCGAAATTCGAGGGGGCGTTGTTGTCTTCGTCGCTCCCCACCACCTCGCTGTCAAAATTGACGTTGTGCTTCTTCCGGTGACGCAGCATGCTGTGTTTGAGGGTGAATCTGCGTCGACAGATGTCGCAGCTGAAGGGGCGCTCCCCCGTGTGGGTCCTCATGTGCCTCCTCAAGTCCTCCGCCGACCAAAACCGGCGCATGCAGAAGGCGCAAATGACCTTCCGGTTGGAGTAATCCGGGAATTTGCCCCTCATGTCGTTCTCTTCGTCCTCGTGGTGGCCCCCTTCCTCAGGGGTTGTCGCGTTGTTGTCCAACGCATTCTTCGACATGAGTAAATCGTACTCGGTGAAGTGCTTGTCTTTGATGTGGTCGAGGGCGTCCTGGCGCTCCCCGAAAGAGCCGTCGCACAAGTGGCACTTGAAGGGCAGGTCGGAGGTTTGCACCATTGGGGCCTCAGTGGGCCCCTTTTTGGGCTCCTCCCAGTCGGGTTTGGTCTCGCTTGGGGGGAGTTTCTCGTCCTCGGAGCTGCCGGCCTCGTAGCCTTGGGCCTTGATGTCGTCCCCGGAGTGTTTGCAACTGATGTGCTTTTTGAGGTTGGAGTAGGTGGAGAAGGTGCTGCTAGGGCAGCTGGAGCATTTGAAAGGGCGTTCGGGGACGTTGCGCATCAAGTAGTTGGTGTTGTTGTTGACGGCGTCGTTGGTGATGGTGGTGGCGTTGTTGCCGTGTTTGCGCAGCAAGTGGCGGTCGCAGTTGGATTTGGTGGTGAAGAGGAGAGGGCAATGGCTGCATTTGAAGGGTTTTTGACCGGTGTGGGTGAGGATGTGGCGGCGGAGGGAGGAGCTCCATGGGAATTTGCGGCTGCAGAAGGGGCAACTCACGCGGTTGGGGGCCATGGAGTAGGCGGATTTCTTCTTGGCGGGGGCGGCGGCCTCCGACTCGGATCTGGAAAATTCATTCAAAACTTGAAACACAAAATTGCAAAAACCTGAATTTTCTACTGAATTACAATTTCCTACTACTGAATTCTAAGTTTGGATGTCAAAACTGGAAATTTTTCTACCAAATTTCAGTTTTCTTCAACTGAATTCTAAACTAGAGTTTGGTAATGAAAACTAGAAAATTTTCTACTAAATTCCAATTTCCTTCTACTGAATTCTAAATTAGAACTGAATTCTTCGAGTTTGTAGACCAAAACTAAAAAAAATTCCACTAAATTCCAATATCATTCTACTGAATTCTTATGGATTAGACCTAAATTTTTCATGTTCTTCGGAACATCAAAATTGGAAAATCTACTAAATTCCAATTTCTTTCTACTGAATTCTAAATTAGGAATCAGATCTGAATTCGAAATTAGGATTTAGAACTAAATTCTTCGAGTTTGGAAATCAAAACTGGAAGATTTTCTGGTAAATTCTAGTTTCTTCTTTTCTGAATTTTAAATTAAAACAATTCTTCAAATTTGGAAGTCAAAACTGGAAATTTTCTTCTATTGAATTCTAAACTAGAACTAAGTTATTTGAGTTTAAAAATCAAAATTAGAATTTTTTTAATAAATCCCAATTTAATCCACTGAATTCTAAATTAGAACTAATTTCTTTGAGTTTGGAGTTGAAAACTGGAAAATTTTCGACTGAATTCCGATAAAGTAGACCTAAATTCTTCATGTTTGGAAATCAAAATTGGAAAATCTACTAAATTCCAATTTTTTCCAACTTTAAGATTTTCTATTAAATTCCAAATTTTTTCTACGGAATTCTAAATTAGAAGTAATTTTTTCGACTTTGAAAATCAAAACTGGATTTTTTACTAAATTCCAATTTCCTTCTACTGAATTCTAAATTAGAATTAAATTCTTCGTGCTTGAAAACCAAAGCTGCAGTTTTTTTTACAAAATTTCAACTTCCTTCTGTTGAATTTTAAATTAGAACTAAATACTAAATTCGAAATCAAAACTGCAACATTTTCTACTAAAACTAGTTTTATTCTACTAAATCTAGATTAGAACTAAATTCGTCAAGTTTGTAAATCAAAACTGGAAGATTTTCTACCAAATTCAAATTTTCTTTTTCTGAATTTTAAATTAAAACTAAATTCTTTGAATTTGGAAGTCAAAACTGGAAATTTTCAATTTTCTTCTATTGGATTCTAAACTAAAACTGAGTTAATTAGGTTTGGAAACCAAAACCAGAAAATTGAATTGAAGAAAAAAACTGAATTCTAAATTAAAACTCTTCGGATTTTTTCTAAGTTCCAATTTCCTTCTAATAAATTCTAAATTAGAATTAAGTTATTTATGTTTGGATATTAGAACTAAATTCTTTAAGTTTGAAAATCAAAACTGGAAAAATTTCTTCTAAATTCTAATTCCCTTCTAATAAATTCTTAATTTGAACTAATTTCTTTGAGTTTGGAAATCAAACTGAAAACTTTTCTACAAAATTTCAATTTCCTTTTACTGAATTTTAAATTAGGACTAAATTTCTTATTTTTGGAAACAAAACTGGATATTTTTACTAAATTTTACTTTCCTTTTACTGAATTTTAAAATGTAAACTAAATTCTTCGGATTTGGAAATCAAAATTGGAAAATTTTTTACTAAATTTCAATTTCTTTCTACTGAAATCTAAATTTTCTTCTGCGAAATTTTAAATTAGAACTAATTTCTTGGAGTTTGAAAATTAAAATTGGAATATTTTTTTGTTCTGAATTCTAAATTAGAACTAAATGTTTCGAGTTTGGAAATCAAAACTGAAATTTTTTACTAATCCCCAATTTCCTTTTATTGATGAATTCTAAATTTCTTTTTACTGAATTCTAAATTACAACTAAGTTGTGCGAATTTGGATAATATTTTCTAGTAAAATCTATTTTTTTCTACTGAATTCTAGATTAAAACTAAATTCTAGCTTTGACGCGTTAATTATTTTTTTTAAGGTATAAATGAAATTACAAGTATTTGAAAGAAACACAGAAAAGACTTACTTATTTTCGTCCGTTCCTGAGATGTTCCCTTCGCTAGTGCTCCCACTGGCGACCAACCCTTCTTCATCCTCCTCGCTGGCGCCTCCCACTTCCGGCTCCTCCCCCTCGCGTTTGAAAAACTCCTTGAACTGTTGTTGGGAAGCATTGTCCAAAAGCCTGGACACTGGTACCAAATCCTGACTCTCTTCATTCTTCACTTTCTCCGACTTGATCTGTTTCGCATGCAACTCCCTGAGTTTCTCCTCTAGAATCTTACTTCGTTCAAATCCCGTCTCAAAATGTCTTTGGTTGTTATCTTCAGTCTTCAAATCAACCTTTTCGGCGTTCTCGTCGATCACAAGATCACCATCTTCATCATCATCCTTCTTGATTTCTTGATTAACCCTCAGATGTTGGGCCAAAATCGCAAACTTTATTTTCTCATCCATGTGTTCTTTGGTATCGTCATAATCCTGAGTTTTTGGTACTTCGTAGTTTGGTATACTGAGATCACAGTAACTCTTCAGTTGGCTTTTGCGCCCTGGGTTGCTCACTCCTCTTTGGCGTTGCGACCAAAACTGAGGATGTTGTTGCTTGATGTGTCTCTCCATGTTCGACCTGAGAGTGAACCTCGCTGAGCAGTGTTCGCAGGTGAAGGGACGCTCAGTCCTGTACCTCCTCTGCTTCTGTTTCGGCATCAAAACCCCATTTTTGATCACCATTTTGACCGAATTCGGGGACTGAGTCAAATCGGGCTTGGCAATAGGACTCTGCAATTTGTAATTGTCTCCAAAACTCGACTCCACATTCAAGCTCAACGGTTTCAAATCCTCCGGTTTCTTCAAATCGGGCGCAAAACCCGGATTTTGAAACGTCTTCAATCGTTCAGTAAAATTGTCACTGATCATTGACCCGCCACAAAACTGGTACCTCTGCAACCTCTCTTTCATCTCGTGCGACTCCGGGGGAAGAATGGGAGGTTGCAGGGAGGAGAAAATGAGCGGGTTTAGAGGCAATCCGGGCCATCCGGTGAACCCCGGAAAACTACTCCGGTAAAGTGAGGCGTAAAGAGCCGCCGGATCGATTTTCGGAGGACTTTTGAGTAGTTGTTGGGCAAATAAATCCCTCACATGTGAGGGACTTGGAGTTTTCTTGGACAAATCCTGAGGGAGCTCGTTTTTGACCTCTTTCTTCTTACTCAAATCCAGGACTAGATTCATTGGTTCCTCCTCTTGATCCTCACATTCCTGATCCGATTGCTGCTCTTTGAGCTCCTCTAAATTCTTGACGTGGATTTTTGAGGACAAATGAGGAGTTGACACGTTTGAGGATTTAGGCGAGAAGTTATAGGGTAAGTAAGGGGAGAATTGGCCATTTGGGGGGCGTTCTTTGAGACTTTTCAAATTCTCACTCCTGATGATATTGGAGAAGAGTGGGGGTTCTTTCGGAAGGGGGACATTGAGCGTTTCCTTGAGGAGAGTGGGGATCAAGGGAGTGAGGGGTTTCTCCGGGGTCACATCAGTGGTAGTTTTCCGGGGCTCTGCCAACTTATTTAAATCCTCGTTGGTGGGGTCTTCGGATGGGTGGTAGATTATGGCTTTTTTGACCTCCTCACGTGTTGTTTTCGCATGTCGGTTTCTCAAATGCCGTTCACAGTTGGCTTTGGTGGTGAAGGCATAATTGCAAAGAGAGCATTCGTATGGTCGGTCCCCGTTATGGGTCCTCATGTGTCTTATCAAAGCTGCTTTATCGATGGACGAATGGGGGCACATGTTGCACCGATACATCCCATTGTTGTTACCATTGAGATGGGCCCTATTGTGCCCCTTCAAGGCCCGCAAATTGGGGAAAACTGCCGTGCAAAGACGACAAGGAAACTCCCCTCGGAGTTTCATCTTCCGGAACTCCACTGCGAACAAATCCTGAGATTCTTCCTCCTGTTCTGTTTTCTGAGTCTCGTGAGTTAAATCGTTCTTGGTGCGAAGTTGTTGCAAGAGACTTCCATTGGTGGTCATCGAGATGATACTCTGGATATCTGCCAGGTCTTTCGAGTCATTGGTCATGACTTTGGACAAAAGTTGTTGTCTGAGTTTGGTCGAAGTTTCGCTCATTTGAGGAGGAATGAACTTTTCGGGGGAGTTATCTTGCAAGTTAAGTCGGGAGAAGAACTCATTCCTCCTGATGTCCTTCTCGGAGACTTGGGTTTTGCTCAAATCCAGCCCATTGTGTTGGTTCAAGCAGTCTTTTTCGTGGATTTGCAAGGAGCTGGAGCAGGGGAACGCCCTAGTGCAGGTCTTGCATTGGAAAGTGAGTCCATCGGAAGCCGTGTGGAGGTTCTTCTCGCACTCATACCGCGCGATATAAGGAAACTTCTCGCTGGAGAAGTCGACAAAAGTCAAGTCTTTGAACCCAGAAACAGTGTGTTTCTTGGTACTGGAATGAACCGTGTTGCGATGGATGGTCAAAAGCTTGTTGTTTTGGAAGATTTGGTTGCATTGCCCACACTTGGCGGGATAATCTGGATGATTGTCCTCCAAGTGTGTTTCCAGGGCCACAATCGAGTCAAAATCGGTCCGGTCACAAACGGGACATTTGTAAAACTGTGTTTCGTTGTCACTCGAGTTTTCCAGTTTGCGTTTCTTCGACTCGACTTTATTGTTGTTGAATTCGGTGCTTTTGGAGCTTCCGCTGTCGGTGCTCCCGTCGGATTCGTAATTGTCGGTTTTGTGGGTGTGGGTCCGCATGTGGCGGTGCATATTTCCATTGGTGGTGAAGGTGTCGCCGCAGTAGCGGCAATGGAAGGGTCTTTCGCCGCTGTGGACCAAGACATGTCGGTCCAGACTCGAGCTCGAGCTGAGTACTTTGGAGCAAATGCGACACGTGAAGCCCTTGTCGTCTTGGGCCTCCGTTTCGTTGTTGTGAGATCGGATGTGGAGGGTGAATTCGTGCTGGGAGGTCAGCATGGTGTCGCAGATGGGGCAGACGTACTTGCGTTCGGGGGAGCTGCAGTCGCTGCGGTTGTCGGTGTCGCAAGGGTCCATGGTGGCGGTGGTGTTGGTGGCGGAGAAGATGCCGGAGTCGCTTTGGGTGCTTTCCTCCTTCCTGGATTCGGGTTCTACCTCCATGGTAATATCGGGAACTGGAAAGAGGGAAATGTCAAAATGCTGGAGATAATTATTGTTTACTTGAGTTGGAGGACATATCCCGGAAATGTGCGGTGGCGTGAGCTGCTACTTGGTTTCATTCATATTTTATTTTTCACGTTAATGCGATTAGGAATTTTTTATGGCGCAATGGTGGTCTAGATCCGTGATTGGGTATTGATTGGGGGAAATTGTAGACAATTTGTTACAAATTACTGAATCAACAGATAATGGAGGAACTAAAAAAATGCTGGGTGGGGGGGAATAAAGTCAAATAGAAATTTTTTGGTAAAATATGACGATACGAACACTTTTTGTGTATTCTTGATACTAAATAAACAATACTTTTTTAAATACAATTTGAAAAGCGAATTTTTACAACTAAAAAAATTAATAAATAAAAAAGGAAAAATAACAATTTTAATAATATAGGCGCTTAACCGATTTTTGGCGTTTTTCTTTATAGTTTAAACATTATTTTGTTTGTTTTTAATAATTTTGATTTCGATTTTTTGATAGGATTGAATTTATTTTGGTATTTTAGCGTTTAGAAATCGAAACTGGTAAATCTTCCACTAAATTTAAATTTTCTTCTGCTCAATTTTAAATTCTTCTCAAAACTGGAAGATTTTTCACTAAATTCCAATTTTCTTCTGCAGATTTTAAATTAGAACTAAATTCTTCGAGTTTGTTTTTTTTGCTAATTTTTTTTAAATTCCAATTTCCTTCTGCTAAATTAGAATTAAATTCTTCGAGTTTGGAAACTAAAATTTAAAAAAATTAAACCAAATTCCAATTTCCTTCTACATACTAAATTTTAATAAAATAGATCTAAATTCTTCATGTTTGGAAATCAAAACTGGAAAATCTCCTACTAAGTTCCAATTTCCTTCTACTGAATTCTAAATTAAAACTAAGTTCTTCGAGTTTAGAAATCCAAACTGTAAAATTGAATAGTAATAAATAGCAAATTTGATTTTTTCTTCGCTTTTGAAAATCTTTTTCTTAAGGAAAAATTTAAATCAAATAGGCACTCAACCGGTTTTTATCGTTTTTCTTTATTTTTCTTTATTATTTTGTTTGTTTTTAGTAATTTTGATTTCGATTTTTGATAGGATTGAATCTGTTTTGTAACTATATAAGTGATATAATCCGAGGAGTTGTAAAATAAACTGTAAATATTTTTTACTTATTTTTTTTAGTTATTTTATAATATTTAAATGTTGTTTGGAATGTGACAGTGTTACTGCCAAAAAGATCATAGTTTTCAATGTAAAATTTGGGCACACATAACTTTTGACGAATTTATTTCAACCAAATCTATTTTTTAGAATTTAAAATTAAAATAATGTTTTTTTTTAATAAATCGTTCGCAAAATAACTCAAAATAGTCTGTAAAGCATTACTTTTTCAGACTCAAATGTCGTTACAATATGTCAAAGTAGTCCATAAAGTGTGGTGTTTAATACATATTTCAAATATTTCAATATTTTATCAACATGAGAATTATTTTTTTACTGTTAACTTACATTTTTGATTTACAAAAGAATATTTTTTTTATTTAAATTGAATTGTGTTTGAATTTTTGCTAAGTAATCGTTAGGAATTGGCTCAAGTAGCATTATTATGACCTAAAACGACAATTTTCCAAGTTGTTTCGCTAAAATCTTTCGATTTTGAAATTTCGGTCTAGAAACTTCAAATTTACCTATGTTAAAAATTTGTTTTTGTTTTTGCTGAACATCTTTTTCATAATCTTGACATTTTGCAGTTTTGATAACTATCTGATTTCAAACAAAGAATATTTGCAAAGTTTTTGTAAAAAGAATTATTATTAAATAAAATACCGTTAGCAATACTGAAAAACAGGGACAGAAGATGGTAATCTTTATATCTTCTCTCTCTATTTTTTAGTTTTGCTAACGGTATTTTATTTCATTATTTTTTCTAATTTGTAAATAGTCTTGTAAAAAGTCTAATATCCTGGGTCTCTGTTGCTTAATTTCGAAAATGTAATGTTCAATTTTTACAACTTACTTGACGATTGGTAAAAAATGAAAAATTTATGAGTCTTAAATTTTGGTAAAGTGTTTTTTTTTTCAATTTTGTGTAAAATAAATGTGTAAATTTAACTGGTTTTGTTCTTTTTTATCAATAATATCTGTTCTTTGAAGAGATTTTAATAAATTCATTTAAAAAATTGCAAATAAAGAAGTTTAAATGTGATATTTTACGTTGTTTCGAGCTAATGAAAGTTTTGTTGTATTGGTAAGTATTTTTTTGTAAGTATACACTTCCAAAAATAGCTATTTTACAGGCCCAACAAAATAAAACGTAATAGTTACTTTATTAAAATTCATTCATGTATGAATGAAAATAGTAGTAAAATAGTACCATAAAAATAGTGGTACTACTACATAAAATAACTATTTTCTACATTATTTTATTGAGTGCGAAAAAAATTCATGTTATTCTTATTTATAAAATAGCTATTTTTACGAACTTATAAAAATAACTGTTTTTTGATAATATTTTGTTTATTTTTTATAACTTTTTAAATTTCATTTTGTATATCTACACTTTGGTCGATTTTAATTTGATATTTTTGCAATTAAAGATAATTAATTCCTGAAGAATTTGGCAATAAATCCTACATTTTTTCTCATTATTGCGAAAACTTGAAAATCGATTAAAACCGTTTTGTAGAAAAGAAATAAAGACTAAGCAGATTTTTAAAAAACTAGTTGTGAATAAAGTGCTTTTAATTAATTTTCGTTTGGTAATATTTTTCTTGCGTTAAAATAAATTCTTATAAGTCACTACAAACATTGAAAATTGACGTTATATGCAAAAATATTTTTACTACCGTCATTTATAAGCACAAATTACAAAAAAAGGTAGGTATATATCTTATAATTTCTTATCAGTGTCCATTTAAGTGATCAAAACTTAAAAGTATTTAAAATTAGGTCCAGAAATCGAAATTTTTTAATGTTTCACTCTATCAAATTTAGTTATTTTCTTTTTCAGTTTTTTTTCGGTATTTACCCGGCATTGGAGGTAAATCGGTCGCGTTAATTAGCTTCTGGAGCCACCTTGCGCCAATTGGGTCGTCCGCCGTTGCAGTTAACTGTAATATGCGATTTTTATGGCGCGCGTTTTGAAACCAAATGATCTAATTAGTAATTAAATAAATGAGAGTGCGTCATATTGAAATTCGGAACGGCAGACTGATTAGGAAAAGTCAATAATTGAAAATACACATCTCTTGCTCCCATTTCAGTCTTGTGTACCTGCAATGAAATCACCTCCTGATAAAAATTCTTTGTCAGTGACATTCGTAATCGTCGAACATCATTTACTTGACCCAAATAGTGTCGTTTATTGTTTAAAAAGTGGTTGCGCAACGAAATTATGGAAAACCATCGGCGTGTCATTGGAAAATCTCATGAAGAAAAAAGTTTGTTTGTCGAAGGTGGGAACGCGATAAAATCGAAGCGACGATGTTTTGTTCTTCAAGGAGCGGAAAGTGATTATGGACCACAATGAGAGATATTCCGAGGAAAAAACCGCAGGCCAGGTTTCGTTTCCTCCCAAATACCGACGGATTGTTAACCTTTTAGCTGAGATAAAAACAAATTATCGTGCTTTTTCATGTGAGAACTTGAGAAAATCTCTTTGTTATTATGATGATGAGGGAATTAAGCGACAAATCGAACTAGAGAAACACTATCTCAGGTATTAAATTCATGCATAACACACTTGTTTATTCAGACAATTATTAACAACAACATCTGCGCACTTATCAGTTGATTTTTCTCTGAAACGGCATGACACAGCTTCTCAAATATTCTGAAACTCGAGAAACGTATTTTCAAACAGCCGATTAAAACATTAATCACCTGCCTGACCCACATTCCAGGTCAAAGTTTCGACTTTTTGGCCGTCGATAAATTAATCAAAAGGAGGAAACGCGCTCGGATTAGAAAATAAATATTGACTTGTTTGACTTCTGGTTTTCAGATAACAAAAATAAAATTTGGGAAAATTACAACGTTTTATCATTTTTCTTCATTTCTTTGTTGATCGCGTAAATTGCTCCAACCTTGAGGCGCGTAATTACGTTGTTTTTCGAATTTTTCTTACCTAGAGTGTTGTTTGGCGGCGGCGACCCCTGCTGTGGATTCTGAGGCATGAAGAGCACCCCTTGCATTTCGAATTCACGTTCTGCAACAAGAGTTGGTCCAATTATTTTATCTCGTGTATACAAACAGAAAATAACCGATACATTTGAATATCAGATAGAGCATATGGTCGTTCCACCTGCCCTCCGGTCGCCGGAACACCTGCTCCGGCGCGTGCTCTCCCCTTTTTCAACGGCCGAGATCTCCGGAAAAATAATCATTCCGGGAACACGAAAAAAACAGACACTCATGGCCGGCTATAAATCCAAAGTACATGCAATTCAATCTCGCCATTATCGAGGAAAATTGATATTGGAAGATGTAAGTTAAGTGGCGATTTGTGTTCGACGTGTCGTACAACAATGACATTGCGTATATTCAGCATCAGTGCTGCAATTAGAGCCGAGGTTGGGAAATTCGCCCGGAACGGGATTTCGAAGACAATTCCGGGTTTTATGCTCTCGATCGAAAAAATCGAGATAAGATAACAAGCTCGGATTTTCCTGCTTTGGGATGCGGAAAATGATTATCTGTATCTGGGTCGATGATTTCATATTTCGCCAAGATAATCACAATCACGCTTCATTCAAAAACAAACTTGATATTTATATTGAAATATTAAATTAAAAGTGGAAGGAGAGCGTTCAATTTTGCGCCTCTGACTTTGAAATTAGGTTGGCAACATTGAATAATGTTCAGACAGACAGACAAAATTGACAAGTCACATTTTCACTGCCTTTTTGATCAGGGATTTAATTGAACGCATGTTGGATACTTTAATGGTCATTAAAACACTCAAATGAGTGTTTTAATAACAGTATTAAAGTGGCAAAACACGGCAATAAATATTCCTGAAAACAGTTACAGTGCTCTTACCAACTTTGCAAAAAAAAAACGGTGCTTACACGACATTAGAAATTTCTGATCAAAGTTACCTCTGACGTTGAAATTAAGTTGGCAAGATTGAAAGTGTTTTAAAAATAGACAAGTCACATTTTTGAAGGCCATTTTGATCAGGAGTTAACTTGTCATGTTCGATTGTATGTTTTAAAGTTCTCAAATAAGTGCTTTAATGACTATTTTAATACTGAAATTGGTGACTTAATAGACCTGAAAACAGTTACAGTGCTGTTACGAACCTTACAAAAGACTTTGCTTTTACGGCGTTAAAGATTTCTGATCAAAGTGACCTGTTACTTTGAAATTAAGTTGGCAACATTGAGTAATGTACAGAAAATTGACAAGTCACATTTTTGAAGGCTCTTTTGATCAGAAATTTACTTAAACGCATGGTTTATTTTCATTTGGATGCTTTAAAGGTCATTTCAACACTAAAAGAAGTGTTTTAATAACAGGAAATTACTTCTATCAACATGGCAACAACAATGAGTGCTTTAATGATTATTTTAATACTAAAATTGGTGACATAATGGGGCTGAAAACAGTTACAGTGCTGTTACCAACTTTGCAAAACAGCAATGCTTACATTACATTAGAAATTTCTGATCAAAGTGACCTGTGACGTTGAAATTAAGTTGGCAACATTGAGTAATGTATTGAAAATTGACAAGTCACAAAGCCACATTGATCAGGAGTTTACTTGTATTCTCAATTAAATGCTTTAAAGTTCGTTTCAACACTCAAATGAGTGTTTTAATAATAACATCTCAAAACACAGCAATAAATCTTCACTAAATTGCTTCTACCAACCTGACAACAACAATGAGTGCTGTAATGGCTATTTTAGCACTGAGATAAGCGACTTTATAGATCTGAAAACTGTTACCAACCTTCCAAAAAAGCAGTGCTAACACGACGTTAGAAATTCGTGATCAAAGTGACCTGTGACTTTGAAATTAAGTTGGCAACATTGAGTAATGTACAAAAAATTAACAAGTCACATTTTTGAAGGCTACTTTGATCAGAATTTCACTTGAACGCATGGTGTATTTTCAATTGGATACTTTAAAGGTCATTTCAACTTTAAAAGGAATGTTTTAATAACAGTGTCGCAAAACATAGCAATTAATATCCAGTAAATTACTTCTGCCAACCTGATAAAAACAATGAGTGCTTTAATGGCTATTCTAACATTGAAATGGGTGACTTAATAGATCTGAAAACAGTTATAGTGACTTTGAAATTAAGTTGGCAACGCTGAAATATTATTAATTGGTTCAGATTAGGTTAGCGGTCACCCCCTGGAAATGAATACCAGTTGAGTACAAAAGTGTGACGTTTGAATTTAATTGTCATTGTTGCCAACTTAATTTCAGAGTCATGAGGGGCTTAAAGTTTTGTAACAAAGATAATTATTTTTTTGTATTTCTACAAAAAGGCAAGTTTTTTCACAAAATTCAAAAATGTATTTCTCAAAAACGACAAAACGAACAATTCTAGCGACGTTTTGGTTCTTTCTCGCTTCCTCGAGCCCTTTTATCCTATTTTTACACAACAATTACTCTTCTTAACTTTTTTTCGTCAAATTTTTAGAATATTAAATGGGTTATTTGTATTTACAATGTTATTAACATGAATGGAGCACCAAAACCAATAAGTAAATATCACAAGATAAATAATAAAAATTATCTAAAACAAACATCTAAAATGGACTAAATGAAAAAACGTAAATAGGTGTGCGAAAATATAAATCCTGATGAAAAAAAAATATTGATTTAAATAAATGGAAAAATATTATTATACAGGGTGTTAAAAAAATCAAAAATTAAAAAATATTTAAGGAAATATGGGCCAAAATAAACAAAAAAGTTTTAATAAACATAGGTCCGCAAAGTAACGAACGTAAGTAATCGATTGTGAAAATTTTTAGAATTTTTACTAGAAGCTTTTGTTTATTGTTTGAACAGATTGCAAATAAATGTTTCAAAAAACGAATAATTTTTGATATTTCCGAAACCGTTTGACTTTTTTGTTTTTTTTTTAATATTTTACAATCTTTTTTTAACACCCTGTAGCTGAATTATTATCAATAAAATATTTTTTACACCGCTATTTTAGTAAATAAAAATAAAAAGAGTATTTATGAAACGAAATTTGACCACCCATCTCAGAATTGGTCATTGTTAGATAAAGATAAATTGATTCCAAGTCCCACTAGACAAACAAAGATAGAATATAATATCTCAGTTTACATCAATATTTTAGACACAAAATTAAAACACAACGAAACAAAAATGCAACAACTTGAAATTTATTATATTTTATAGTTAACAAGCTTTTATTTTCAGTACCTAATTACAGATTTAATTTTTGACTGATGAAATCTCATGCACTCATTTCCTTCCCAGCTGTTTAATTTATTTGTGAGCGGCAATTTACCAAATTTCTCGTTAACTCCACGTGTAATATTTTGAAATTATAATTAATTCGATGAAAGTTTCAGAATTGGTCAATTACGTCCCAAATCAATATTGTAATTTATCCGCGGTTGCCATTGATTCCGAGACTGAAGCCTCAATAATGCACGAGCCCCCCGGAATTTCTTATCAATAATGGATCAAGCCGTCCACTTATCAGTCACACGAAAATCGTTTGATAAAATCTTAAGCAAGCCATCGATTTTGGTAAAATATGCAAAGTAATTTGCGTCCGCCGCTGACACATATGTTCAATAGTAAAACACCAGATTTCATATAATTACATAAACGCGAACGTCTGAATTATTGTTATGAGCCGCGAGACCAGTGCACGCTTTCTTAATTTCGAGATGGAACAACAACAACATCCACTAGACCGAAAACGTTAGAAATCTGCAACATTTCATCCTTTCGGTTGATTGCTCGCGCTTATCACGAGATATCTCCACTTATCTCGTTTATTAAAATAAGTGCACATTTAATTGCTGTTTACCAACACCGATAATTGCCCTAATTGATAAATGGAAAAGTTCGCCTTGGAGACCCTGTTGCAAAAGCGCGACACTTCAGCCTCTTATTAATATTTAACCGAATTTTGCAACTTTACCGGATGCGTTTCGGCTAAAGAGATATTTTCACTTAATATTCTATAAATGAGAGACAAGAGAAATCGTAGAATTTAATGACAAAACACTGAAAATATATCTGAAAAACTAAAATCGTGAACATTTTTGAGTTTTTTTTTGAAAACATTGTCCTACTTTGATGTTAGACAAAGATGAATTTATATCAAATTTCATTTAAAAAAAACTTAAAAAACTTAAATTTAAAAAGAATTGATATTATAGAATAAAATTTTGACATGTTTAAGATGTTTTTAAATCAATTTGCAACCCTGTAGACTGTAGATATGCACAGGATGACGCAGGTATAAGAATTAATCGACCAATATCTTTACTACTCATAAAAATAAAAATACTTCAAAAATAAATAAGAATGTTATATTAAAAAAAAACACAAAAGTGCTATACTTTTACCTAAGTCTGTCAAAAATATCAATTAAAAAAGAAACTAACAAAATCGTTAAATATTTTTTCGCTTTTTCAAAAACTTTTTCGTTTCATTATCAAGTCGTAACTGTTAGACAAAGATGCATTTATACCAAATCTTATTAACCAAATAGAGAGAGAGAATAACAGAAATTCCGCTTGAAATAATTCTGACTTTAGTGCTGTAG